ATTTTGAGTAACTTGGCTGCAATGAGGAAAAATAAAATAAAAGTCGCTCTTAGGATTGTTACCCTTAAAGACAGATGAGCAGGAACAACATTCAATTGGAATTCAGTCTGGTATCGGATTAAACCCAGAACCAAGGGGTTCCTCCGCTTCTCGCTATACATGTTCCTTTGAAGCCATTTGAAGCAGTAAAAGTGCAGCAGCATCAGAGTTAATTAAAACGAGGCACATTCTGTGCTTATATACGTCAAGGTGTCCGGGCCAAACAAAATTGAAAACCGCCCGTGTTCCCAGAGCATATTACGGGGGCGTGATCCTCTTCCATGGGATGAAAAATAGGGCGACCAAAAATGCTCCCTGCGTTATTATTCGCCGCGGATGTAATGATCCGTCGCGCGTTTCTTCTTCTTCTTCTTCTTCTTCTTTTACCACATGCGAGGTGTATGCACATGCGCATGCATCGTTTTCCGCATGGCATGTGATATGGTGTTGGGATGCGTGCTGGAGGAGGCGAGGATTAAACGGCCGGTGATCCGTTTTCTGATGGGGAGGGAAAACGACCTATCGCCATGAGAGGTTGGGGAGGTTCCTGCATTGTTGCATAGCGTGGGGGTGCGGATCTGCTGGAAAAAACTTCCTGGTACAGGTGGTACCTTGCAATTCAACCTTCCGCAATTCAACAATCCCAAAATGTGATGGTAAAATTGGCAGGAAGGTTGACTGGCAATTTGACCCTTGCCCCTCAATGCAACCTGCTTTGGCCATTTTTTTTTCAGGATTTATTGCTGGAAAAAACTTCCTGGTACAGGTGGTACCTTGCAATTCAACCTTCCGCAACAACAATCCCAAAATGTGATGGTAAAATTGGCAGGAAGGTTGACTGGCAATTTGACCCTTGCCCCTCAATGCAACCTGCTTTGGCCATTTTTTTTTCAGGATTTAGCTTTGATATTTTTTGAATTTCATGAAGTCTCTTTTGCAATTCAACCCTCGTTTGGCAACTGACTATAGGGTCAAATTGAGAAGTACCACCTGTACAGTACAGGTGGTACCTTGCAATTCAACCTTCCGCAATACAACAATCCCAAAATTTGACGGTCAAATTTGCAGGAAGATTGACTTGTAAAATGACCCTTGCCCCTCAATTCAACCTGCTTTGGCTATTTTTTTTCAGGTTTTAGCTTTGATAATTTTTGAATTTCATGAAGTCTCTTGCAATTCAACCCTAGTTTGGCAACTGACTGGAGTCAAATTGAGAAGTACCACCTGTACAGTACAGGTGGTACCTCACACTTATGTGAACCTAATCTGTTGATGGACTAAGGTTAAATTGCAAGACAATCTCAAATGGCATGTTTTCTACATGGCATTTGAAGTTTCATGTCTCTCCACATGTTGAATTGCGCAGCAGAGGTTAAAATTGAGAGTTGACCTCCAAGCAAATTCAACCATCAAATTGTGGGTGGGTTGAATTGTGGGAGGTCACATTGTGAGATACCACCTTTATATGGTAAAATTTTCATAAAATCAACTCCCAGGGACTTGGGAAAACATTTTTTGCAACAAAATACAGGTAGACTCTATCTTTGCAATGATCTTGTTCACAACATTTTTCTCAAGATAAAAAATTATATTTGGTCCAAAAATATTCTCTTTCCTTGTTGAAAGCATTTTCAAAAACATAATTCCCTATACAAATTGTTATGGTCCCTAAAATTTCTTTTAGAGAGAGAGTCTGCCTTTATTGAATGCAGAGTCTTGAGGCCAATGGTAAAAAAAAAATTGAGACTGAAATGGGTGATGAATGCTGTGAAGAGCTTCTACAGTACAACACATAATTTAAATCCTGTCAGACCCTTTCCCATTGATGATATTAAGAGGAAAAACTTTGTATATACACCTGGATTTTGATAACGCAAAAGGGCCAAACCTCCCTAAGTCAAATACAGTATCTCTAAGCCTATTGTTTTCAATTTGCAACCTGAATTATTCCCATAGGAACAATTCCTTCAAATAACCCAACTAACTCAAAGCATTTCCCTTCAAATCTTCATAACTTGAATTTCCTGGAGGCCTTTCAACTATTCTTCTATTGACACAGGAGAGAGAAAAGCAATTAATACAAATTCAATTTGATTTAAGAAGCAATTCAAGACCCAGAATATCACCACTTGCAATTTCCTGTCATTCATCTTTAATTTCTCAACAAAAATAGCATTGTTACCTAACTCCAACACTAACTAACTTGAATTTGTTGATGGTCCCTTTATGTTCAGACTGAAGAGGTTTGAGTGTAATAAATTATGTTCATAAGAATTAAAAAAAAATGTTTACAACACATATATTTATAACAAGAGTCAGTGTAAAAATAATTCATTTTGCATAAAGATGGTGTTTAAAAAGGACTGGATATAAATGTGTACTGCATACATGTGTTAACAAACATATTATCCCTCTCTCTATCTCTCTCTCTCTCTCTATCTCTCTCTCTCTCTCTTCTTGCACGCACACATACAACTAAATTATTCCAACCAGTTATTTTTTTATATCAAAAAGTGCATTTTCGAATTAAATTACAGTATACTGTATAGTTGATTAGATGATTATTGCTCATGGTCAGCTGGAGACTTGGCTTACAAATAAAATGTTGATGCCATCTTTTGTCCCAGAAAATGAAACTTGTACCCATTCAACGATTTCTCTTTGTTTGAACTTTCTTTTTTCAAACCCCAGTTCATTTCCTTTTTCAAATCGGTATACCCCTGCTTTCCAACCTAATGTTTTTAAAAGAAACAAATTTCTTGGGGCATTCAGGAGAATGCACAACATGCTGAATACAAATGCAAAACTTAAAATCGTTTTTTGCAGTTGGATGACCATGTTTTTTCACACCCCACGCGTCGCGGCATCTAGGCTCAGTAAAGCACCAACTGTTTTCATGCCCCGAAGAAAATGAAAAAAAAATAGATCATTGCCTTTTTTAGTGGAAGATGGATGTCACGAAGTAATTTCTTTTTGAATAATAGAGTCGGCTGTTCATGTATAAAAAATATATTAGACAGTTCAGAGCAGGCATAAAAACGAGCGTAATCTCAGAATCAATCTTGAGAACTGCACGCAGAGAAACTTAATATTCCTACCTTATTTTAATCCAGACATCGAGAATAATTTGTCCGGTGAAATTTAAAAAGAAAAGCACACATTAAAAACAATTGAAATTACTTCTTGGTGCTTTCGGAAGTAAAAAGCATTCGGTATATTCCGAGGGTTTTTTATTTTATTTTAAAATAATATAAGCTTTTTGAAGTTCAGTTCTTCAATAAGGGGCATAAAAAGAAAATAAAAATACATCAGGCGCGACTGTTATTTTTTAAGAGAACCCATTAGCAATTAACAAGACCAATTTGAAGCAGGACGAGTACACAAATAATAAAAATGGAAGAAATAGAAATATAACTCCAGCATTCGGGATCGACTCGAAATTTCTTTTCTTCTTTTTTTGGACACGAATTCCAGCAACAAAACACGCAATCGCAGTAGCACAACGTTCTCAAGCGTTTGACACAACGAGCGCAAAACAATACGTTTTAGAAGTTGGTTAAAATTGGACTTCGAAAAACGAAACATTCCAGCAGCAGGAGCAAAAATCACACGGTTGAATCTACGCCGAAACACGGATGGGGCGCGACATCTGCCAAAGCTTTAGACAACCAAAATCAACGCATATCGACTATCATTCCTCACCGAGGCCACTAATTTGTACATTTCTCCTCAATTAAAAACTGGATACCGTAATTTATACAGGAATTCCCGGTTTTCGCTTGTGGCTCGGATCAATGATCCCGATATTCATGTACAGTACAGGACAGTGACATTGTACAATTCTTTTTGGCAGGAGAGAAAAATAGCACAAAACCCTCGCACAAAATCTGATGAACGTGTTCAATCCTTGGAGCACCAACACCGCGTCAATAACAGAAATTCGATAACTAAAAGTTTACAGAGGCATCTAAGATTCTAACAGGATTTTGATCACAGGTGTATTTGGGAAGGATTTCAAAGCGCGATTTTGATTCAAAATTAACCCACGAAAAAGCCACCAACACTCGCAATTACAAAATCATTTATATTTCTGGGTTGAGTCTAGATCTTTAGAAAATATCTTGATAAATCATAATGAAAGCTTTTTTCTACCTCATTAACCCAGTGCTAGCAGTTTTGGGTCACACTATAGATTCAGCACTGTACATCGAAAAACTATTTTCAATCAAATTTCGAACACGGTTGACTCAAGCATAAATCGTCCAACGAACAAATCGCATCACTGAAGCACTTATTGAAAGTATATTACTGTACTGCGGTAATTTACAAGAACCGACTTTTTTGCAGAGATGGACAAATTTTCTCCAAGATTCTTCTAGAAAATGGATTACAGTAGTTACAAGAAATAGTCGCGATTAATTTTCAAGTCCCAACCCGATTTTCGGCGGGGATCTGGGGGAAAATCATGTAGTCCACAAGAATTGTCAAGAGAAAAACAAATTGGGTCTATGTTGCGGTAAAACGTCGCTAATTTTTCCTTTTTACATGCTGATTAATGAATGCAATCTGAGACTGACTCCTCTTTCTGATCCATAATTTGAAGTGGACGTGACTTTGAAACTTTCGCGAATATCTCCTTGAACTGATACACTATCAATAGGCCACACAACTGGAGCATAATTTGGCCGAAAAAGAGATATGACTGCTTTGCGCACTGCAGTCCAGTATTATTCATGATAGGCCGCATTACCTTAATTTTAGTCCTTCTGCGTATAGAAAAGTGGAGAATAATCTCTCGAATACAGTTTTCTTCGGTTCAAGAAGTCTTTCCTCCCTACGCTTGCATGGAATCTATTTTTTCTGTTATATCAGAATCCAAATTAGTTGAGTGACGTCACATATTTTCGGTTGCGAAATGTGGTCAGAAAATCTTTGTCTGGCTGGAATACAGCACTTCGAATGAGATGAAGAGGGTTCTTGCGAACAAAGGATTTCGAGTGACTAAAAATGAAAACATTTCTGTAGTTGGGATCAGTTACTGGCTGTCTTCTACAACGATCGGGTCGATACATTGGCAGACCTCTCGGAAAATATCGTCAATGTCCCCATGACAGTTCACCTGCAAGAAAAAAAGGTGTAAATGCATATAAGCGGGATAAATTACTGTATTTAAAAAATATAATTTTTTTTTACATTTGGAAATGAAAACTGATTCAACAGAATCATTATCAAAAAGGACTTAATATCTTTCGGAAGAGCATCAAAAAATCTTTCTCGATGCAGCGTTCGAGGATTTTATATGCAAATCAAGTCCAGTTAGAAACCGGGTTAATTTTTTCAGTGATTAATTTCCGTGATTAAAAGATTATGATGGATTAATCCTACAAGACTTCGGTCTCGATGATGTGCGATACGTCAGCGAAAATTTCTTCAATATCTCGTTCAGCATTCACCTGATATTGGGAAGAAAAATCACAAGTTCGTCGTTCAAAGTTTATTCAATTCTTATTTCCATTTGCGTTAGAGAGAAAAAGCAATGCTGTCAAAATATTAAAAAGCATAATATGTTGGTGAATATTCAAAAAAAAATACTCGCCATTGAAATGAGTTACATTTTTAAAACGAATTCACTCAACAGAAGTCTTGTTTTTAGAAATATTTTTCGAATTCCTTCCATCAAAATTAGTCTTGAAGATTTTCGGTGGGATATTTGACTAAATTTTGTTGGATTAACGAATAGAAATCAATTTGTGACCAATAAAAGACTGTTTATTTATCAAAGATGATCAATCATAGGTGACCACGAAGAAAATTGTTTACATTGAATTTTTATTATGTTTCCAGGAACTAAAATTTCTAAAACTGTATCCCCAATTTAAAAACCTTGACTTTGCAAATCAGACCAAGAGAGGTTTGAACCAAAACTTTTTTTTTTCGTTAAAGAGGTTTAAAGTGCATTGGACTTGAGGGATTTAATCCGAAGGGATCAACTGGAAATTTAAATAACGGAGGTTTTGACTGAAAGAGGCTCGGTTTAATTGACGAAGTTTGACTGTAAAATCTTTCGATCATTTCTTTTTCAAGAATTCTTCGGATTCAAAATTTAGAAATTTAGAAATTTGGACTAATAAAAATCCCCATTTTTATTTTTAATAGTTGCAACGATAAAATGAATTCTCGCAGTTGAATTAAATATAAAAATTCTTCATTGTCATCCGCACGACCCGAAGTCTCAGCTCGTTTCAGCAGCCGCTGGGTCATGACCTGGTCCGACACTTCGAAGTACAGGATGACCTTCGCCGGTCGGATCTACCAAACACATATACCGTATGATAAAAATTATCATGCTGGATATCAGAATAATTTTCACGTGAAATCAGCACTCGATTAATCAACTGGACGGATTGACCCGGCGAGTTCGTGAAGCTTATTCATTAAAGTTCGACGCAATCATGCTTGAATAAGCTTGCTTGGCGACGCTAAAGTTATCCATGCTACCTATATATATTTAAGCTTAGTTTTACGTTCAAAGATACTGAATAAGTCCTTTTTAAGCAACTTTAAAGTCACAGAATATTGTATTCGTCTACATGGACTACATCGACATGAAAAATGGGATCATATTTAGAGTTTAATCCCCATTTTTATTTTTGATAATTGTAACGATAAAACTAATTCTCACAGTTTAAAATTATTCCTAAAAATTAAGCGTTGTTCATTTTTTTTAACATAGACGGCAAAATAGTCGGAATGCGTGCAGGTAAAATTTACAATGTGCAGAGAAAACACAATTCCTCCAGGGACTTCATTTGCCTTGGCAACATTCCCATTATTTCGGCATCAAAATTGTTTCCTTTGAGACGAAAACCCAAAATCAGGTGATATATTTTTCACGTAAAATCGTTGAACTGATGGTTCACACTGATCCTTCATCAGAAAAATATGCTCTCATTAAAAGATATGCTCGTAAATAAACGACTTAGAGAGAATCCCTTGGGATGAAATGTTTCCTATAAAAAAACAACAACAAAAAACAAACCTGTTTTTCAAATTCTTTCGCTTGGTCCACTTCTCTAGGATATCCATCGATGAGAAATCCATTAGCTTTCGGGTGCTTCTCCATAGCATTTCTAAGCAGAGTCATCACAGTGTCCTTAAAAAACAAACCTGTTTTTCAAATTCTTTCGCTTGGTCCACTTCTCTAGGATATCCATCGATGAGAAATCCATTAGCTTTCGGGTGCTTCTCCATAGCATTTCTAAGCAGAGTCATCACAGTGTCCTGCAAAACGGTGAGCACAGGGAATTTTCACAAGGTATGAACAAAACTTTACACATTCAATATCAGAATTCATAGCTGTCATCTCATTAGATCAGAACGCACTGAAAATGTGTCTTTTTGTGCCCAAAACTCAAGGTCAAATGTGCGCATATGAGTTGAATATTCATCAGGTGGACTCTCTCTCTCTCTAGGAAGACATTTTCTATACAACGAATGTGTTTCCGGTTCGCTGAATTTCATTCACATCTCTATCTACAACGGAGAATTTCATTGTACAGGACCGACGTGGGAAGAGTAAGAGATGAAACACAAAAATTGTGACCACGCGTTAATTCGTCATTCAGTATACTTTTTCAGTATCATTTGCAAAATCAATTGTCGTTTCAAAAATGAAATGAAAAACATACGGAAGTGCAGAGGAAGAGCACTTTTGTAATCATCTGGAATTTTAAATGACACGGTAATTTATTGATTTCTCTTGTCTGAATGAACGAAACATCCCATCTAATTTATTTTCATTGTGAACAGAATTTGCTTTTCCATGGTCATTCGGGCGACATCTACCCAAAGTTTTGCAAAACTATGTCAGTAATCGAATGGAAACAATCCTTCCGCTTTCTGACAAGGTGCCTACTTTCATTTCACGACTCGGATTTCAAAAAGAAAAATTTCACCATAGCCTTTCTGTATATTATTTCAACAGATTACAGGTGAACTCACTCTAGTCTCAGATTTTCTCCATACACTATGTAACTAATTTGCATTTGATCCCATAGTGTCCTCCTCCCATATTATAGGGTTTCTCTGAAAAGCAAGTTTCGCCGCGATTATAGTCTGGTCCCTTGAATTAAGTTGTAGAGAGTCTACCTGTATAGGCTATCACAATAACATTTTACGAAAGGCGGTGGTTCGCTCGAATTAAGGGACCAGCAACACGTAAAAAGAGTGGATAGTCAATTACCACAGTATGTTGTACATTATTGTACTCGAGGAAATTAGTTCGTCTTTTGTCTAGCTCTTCATATAAAACATAATAGAAGTATGGACAGGAGAATGGGGATTCCACAGGAAGCACTTTCAAGCTCGAAAGCATGCAATGAATATGTTGAAAATTTCTCCAGGTATATATATGAATGAACAGAACACTTTATTTGCCGCTTTTCAGCATTCACAAGGTTCAATCAAGATTTCCACCCACAAACCCCCTTCCCACCCAACCCAAATCCACTCAATGACATTTTAATCACTTCATAGCAGGAAAGCACAAATTGTTAACAAAAATAAAAGGAAATACAATACAACATGAAATACAACTGGACATCTGGCATGTATGCATACACCCATTCATTCCCAGACATTGGCAACAAAACATATGTAAACATAAATTTAAAGCACAAGGGCTTCAGCTTGTTTCTGTATGAGGTTCAGTTGAATGAACAAATTAAAGAGAATCTTTGATGAGAAATCATATAAAGCCAACAGTTTATCTTGATCATTTAAGATTTCAGAAAGGGTCTTTTCATTGAATTCCATTACTTGTAAATATTTCTTAAGCTTGTTTTTATCAGTATGAAATGCTGGTATATATAAATTTGAAATGCTGGTATATATAAATTTGAAATGCTGGTAT